TTCTGTTTGTTATTTATCGCGCATTAGTATTGTAAATAAATTGCATTTATAAAATGTATGTCATTTATTATGTCGGATAGGTCAATTTTTGATGCAAATTATTTAAGAACAATTTTTTTAGATTAAAGTTTTTTTTTTGTTTTACTTTTAGTAGAAATAATTGTTATATATGATGGATGTTTAAAATTTTTCTTTTTACATTTTATTTGAGACTAAATATTTATTGAAATTTATATTAATTTAATCGGTTATGCTCTCCAATTTTGTTTAACTTTAAAATTAAATTTAAAGATATTAATAATTTTTGACGAAGTTGTGAATTTAGTACATGTATAAAACAGTTAAATAAAAATTGTGTGAAATATTACTAAAAATATTTTTAAACTATTGTTTAATTGGCTTTAAAGAGTGATTGATTTATCATTGACCACTAAATTTCTCCTAACGTTATAATCTTAAAAATATTGTTTGACTTTGTCTCTACTGTTTATTTCTCAATTTATGAATGGTTAAATACTTTGTAGGTTCGTCCTTTATCCCTTATAAGGGTACAAACTTAATTTTTTGAACGGCGACATAATTTTTTAACTTACTTATAAAATAGAAAATGATCTAATTTAAAAAATGACTGGTTGACAATAACTATTGAACCAGGACTTAGGAAATTATTATTATTATTATTACATTTAGGCAGATAAAAATGAGCGGCCGTCAAACGTCTAATGATTAAAATAGTAATAAATATATTAGAGTATATTGAAAATTACACAACAAATTTGTGATAAATTCATTGATTATTTAATTAATTCTATGGATGGGTATTTAAAAAAATGAATACTGAAGATAATCGAGGCAAGTAGTAAGAGCGACAAATTTAAATATTCAGATGAACAAAATTAAAGTGTCATAAATGTATAGTAAAATGAACATATTACACGAGAAAACGTGACTTCGCGGCCAAATAGTGAGATAGAAAAAAATATTCTACGTTATTTAATAGTCACTCAATTGTGTTCTTTCATGTCCCGCGGGTTAGACAAAAGTAAATTATCAATGTTGCTTCCATAAGTCTGTATAAATAAAAGGGACAAAGTGTCGAAATCGTTCTTAATGTTTATAAATATCAAATGTTGCCAGTTTGCATTGACTTATATTTTATTTGAATTCGTCGCCGTTTTTAAAATATTCGTTGCATCTGCTGAAATCGGTTGTTTGAATTTGTCGCTCAAATATACCAAAATCATTGCTATTAATAGACCGTCTGGTTGAGTTAATTTTCTATTTCTTATTTATCTATTGCCCATTAGTATTGTAAATGTATAAAATGTCTGTAGTTTATTATGTCGTATTAAACAATTTTTGGTACAAATTATTCAAGTACCTCTTTTACTACATTTATGTTATTCTTTTTTTAGCAGATATGTTTATTCTATTTGATATATGTTTTAAATTTATTTTTATATTTTAATTGAGATTACAATTATAATGTAATTAATAATAATTCATTTAGTTATGAATTCCAATAATTTTTAATTTTTAATTAAAAAATATCAATTATTTTTTAATTGTGAACTTTATAAGTATATAAACTGTTGATTAAAAACTGCTTGAAATATTACTAAAAAGAATTTAATATGTTATTTAAATAGATTTACAGAGTAATTGGTTTATCATTGACCACTAAATTTCTCCTAAGTAATAGTAATTTTAGAACTTTTTTTTTTTTTTTTGTTTTGTTAAGTACTATTGATCTTTCAATTTTTAGGTGGTTAAATATTTTTTAAGTTTGGCCTATATCTCGTAAAGATACTCTTTTAATCTTTATTTGTTTAAATGGCAACATACATTTTTTAACTTACTTATATAATAGAATATTGTTTAATTAAAAAAAATTGCCGGTAGATAATAATCAGTAGACCAGTAATTCGAAAATTATTAGTATTTTATTTCTTAGGCAGATGGAAATGCACGGTCGAGAAATGTTTAATGATAAATATAGTCATAACCGTTCATAAATATATTAGGGCAATAAATTGAAAACTACACAACTAATTAACGATAAAATTATTGATTATTTTAAATTCCATGGACAGATAAATTTTTAATTTGATGGACAGATATTTAAAAAAATAAATACTGAAGTCAATCAAGCCAAGTATTAAGAGTGACACATTCAAATAATCCGATGAACGAAATTAAAGAGTCATAAATGTATAGTACTATGAATTTATCGTAAGAGAGAACGTGACTCGGCGGCCAAATAAAAGGATAGAAAAAATCCTATTTTACTCAATAGTCACTCGATTGCGTTCTTTCGTGTCCCTCGGTGTAGAAATTAGTTCTTAAACAAACTGACAACGTTGCTTTCATAAGACTGTATAATTAAAAGGGACAGAGCATTGAAATCATTCTTATAGATTACTAATACCATGTTGCCAGTTTATGTACAATATATAGTACAATGAATTTATTGTATGAGAGAACGTGACTCGGCGGCCAAATGGTAAAATAGAAAAAATCCTAAATTTCTCAATAGTCACTCAGTTGTGTACTTTCGTGTCCCGCGTTTAAGCAAACTGGCAACGTTGCTTCCATAAGTCTGTATAATTAAAAGGGACAAAGTGTTGAAATAGTTCTTAATGCTTATGAATATCAGACGTTGCCAGCTTTCCTATTAACACATCTAGTATTTGAATTTGTCCCGTTTTTATAATATCTGTTCCATCTGCTGAAAACAGTTGTTTGAACTTGTCGCTCATATATACTAAAATTATTGCTATTAATAGACCGTCCGGTTAAATTGTTTTTCTATTTCTTATTTATCTCACATTAGTATTATACATACATATATATATATATATATATATATTGAATTTATGAATTGTATGCTGTCCATTATTTCAGCTGTCAATTTTTAGTACACAAATATTATAACATTATTCAAACACAACTTCTACTACATTATTGTTGTTTTCTTTTTTGTTCTATTTATAACAGAAAATGTTGTTATGTTTGTATGATAGTTTATAATTTTTATTTTAAATTTTACTTGAGACTGAACACTCTGTATGTTTTAATTTACCTAAAATAATTTATACCTGAATAGCAATCTATTTACAGTGAGTCAAGTAAATATTTGGACTTTGTCTAGAATAAAATAATTTTAGTTCACTCGTTCAAACATTTTTTTTAACTTTTATAATTAAAACACTGTTTTAAGATTACATTTTTTAGTGAATAAATTTTTTTAATTCATAATATCTATACCCTCAATTACTTTATCATCAAATTAGATTAGTCGACGCCTAGGCACCGAGAAAGTGCGTCATTGATGTTGGATTTAATCTTTGACTATAGTCTAAAAAATATTTATCATATTATTTAAACAAATAGTGATAAAATTTCATCTGGAGAAGTTAAAAAATTGACAATATTTACAATAAAAAGTTAAAATAGGTTATTTATGTTTAATATTATTACTGGTAAACGTGTAGGTTATAATTGCAATAATGAGTGAAAAATATAATATTGTGGGCAAGTTGTCAGTAAAGTATCTCCTACGTTTTTAAGTATGGTTGATTGATTTTTGTAAAGAGAAAGTCCATGATTATTGCAATTATTTAGATCAATATATCAATTAATAAATTTAATGCCTAACAGATGTGGTTATTAATCGTCAATTATTAATATTTTTAAGATTCATGGAAAGACCCAAAAGTAAATAATATTTTTAAATTAGTAAACATCCTGAATGCTTATAACTTATGAGATTGGTTTGAATTTTTATAACTGAAATAATATGATAGAGCCTCTATAATAAAATAATTATATCAGTGTCGTAGTTAAGGCAGACCTGGGGGCTCATAGTCCCAATTACTACTATGAATAATAATGACCTTGGTAAGAGTACATCATAAAAAAAGTCCATAGGCCAAGTAAAAATTCTGGCTATGCCATTGAAGTTTGGATAATAAATATAGATACAATTTTTTCGATTTAAAGAAAATAAACTTTCAAAGTTTGATGCCTCTGAAAATAAAATCCCAAGAATATCCGGGTTTCTATCAAGAAAATGCTAAAACAGAATTGCGGAAATAGGATTTTTATTTATTAGTCTTTCAAAATTATTTTCTTATTTGAAATTTTGTTATATAACAATACTTAGTATCTATAAACTATAATTCGGTGGTAGATTGTTAACTCATGTCGTTTGGACAAGATAATTAGACTTTTTAAGGAAAGTCTGACGTATCGTAGATCACTTTTTATTTTAATTAATAATTAAAACATGAATGTTTGTTATTTTACGATTAACTATGGACATTTGCATACACATATGTTTATGTACAAAATATAGTTGCATAATAGATGACATGAAAATTTACTCGCATCGCACATTCATTAATTTATACCAAATTTCGAGACCGATAGACGTAAAAATATTGATTGATATTTTACAGAACAAGGGATTGTTTTGCAATTGAACTTCAATGTAGCTCCATAGACTTGAGTGTATAATAAATTGAACGACGACTTTAACCGATGACAGCGCTACTTGTGACTGGGTCTAACAACATCATGGTCGATATGGGACAGGCTGGTGTATTCAGAGGGGAACACGATTGTGGTACGGCGGGGAGAACAAAAGGACGGTGTGCTTCACAGCCGATCGCGCTTCGCGGACTGTTGGTCGGCACTTGCATAGTATACCGTACACAGAGTGTATTTGAACGATCCGCGAGTGGTTTAGTATTCGTTTTACCAAAAACGATTGCCAAACTGACCCGGGCCGAATTTGATTTGCTCATTGACACGGTTATAAATTGTGTGTTTTTTTTTTGTTTTAATGTGCGACAATCCAAATATCAAACAGTCTGCAACCATNCTTTAACCGATGACAGCGCTACTTGTGACTGGGTCTAACAACATCATGGTCGATATGGGACAGGCTGGTGTATTCAGAGGGGAACACGATTGTGGTACGGCGGGGAGAACAAAAGGACGGTGTGCTTCACAGCCGATCGCGCTTCGCGGACTGTTGGTCGGCACTTGCATAGTATACCGTACACAGAGTGTATTTGAACGATCCGCGAGTGGTTTAGTATTCGTTTTACCAAAAACGATTGCCAAACTGACCCGGGCCGAATTTGATTTGCTCATTGACACGGTTATAAATTGTGTGTTTTTTTTTTTGTTTTAATGTGCGACAATCCAAATATCAAACAGTCTGCAACCATAGAACTCTTAGTTCGGAGTCGACGAAGAGACAAAGGATTCTCAGAAAGACTAAAATTGTATAAATAAAGGTCAGATCAACTTTTTATATCCTTCAGTTTTATTCATTTACATAATATATTATAAGCTCAACTCTTTCGGTAGAATCCGTTAAACTTGGTTGAATACATTTAGACAAAAACACCTATAATTTATTTATATATAAATAAAATTATGCTTAATTCATTGTCACGTTAAAGATTTTAAACTAAATAATTAGTTTTATATTTATTTTGGTAAATAAACAATAAATAGAAACGTCGTAATAGAAAAGTCTCGTATCAACTCGTTGTGTATTGTTCAGAGAAGAGCACGTTCTACTGGTTTGGAAAAACGGTAATGGTGGGGAGAGGAGTTGTTGCAGGCAGTGGTTACGGCGGCCACTGGGTCACTCTTCTCCTCACCGCCTACACGCTATCCATGTGGTTCAGCTGTTTTTTATTTACAAACACCGCGGAACAATAATATCGTATGTACACGCGCTCCGCTCAGCAGCCTCAATGTTACGTAGTTTCGAGTTCGGGTGGACGGTAAGGTGTTTTTACAGGAGGGGAGGGGCAGAGTACTGAGCAGACGCATAGTTAACTAGTATTACGTCGTAATGTTATTTTTGAGCACACGTACTGGTCATTTTATATTGTTCTAGGACGACTACTCTTACAATGCTGACACCGATCACCGCCGATTATTATAATCATTAGTCTGGGAGATAAACCTGTTTTGATTGATTTCGGTATTCACGTAGAAAACTCATGTTCTGATTATTACTTTCTAGATTTTCATTTATTTACCATAGTTTTTTAAACAGCTTCGCTGGTGTGATATTCTGATTTTTTGAAATAAAATATTTCGGGAGTTGAAACTTATTGGCTCAAAGTGATAAGATATTTTACTCGACTTTACTGTTTGTAAAGACTGTTTTTTCATCATAGGAAATCATTATTTTTTTCTTTTTTTTTTTTTTT